CCGGGGGGGGCGGGGGCCCAGCCTGTCCCTCCGGTGGCTGTAACGGTGCCGTAACAGGCTGTTACTTACGTAGGTGTGCCCGGGATAGGTGCCCACGGCAGGCAGGTGGGACCCCAAGGCCCCCAGCATCGCCCCGTGCCGTTAGCCGCCGGGCTGGTGCAAGGTAAGTTACAGCTCCCTTTGCAGAAGGGGCTCTTGCCGCCGCAGCCTTCAGCCGCGGGGCCCAGAAGCTGTGTCGCTGTTGATAGCAACATTTAGCTAGTGAGGGGACTGTCTGTGCAGCAAACCCGATCTGTGTGTTTTAAAGCAAACCCCATTAGGAGATACGGCTGTTTCGAGAACCTGTTTCAGTTCCTTTAGGCTGCGTCTATGGCCATGAGATCCCAGTGTGCTCCTGTCTCCTGCCTCTCCGCAGAGCTTGGCCTGGGCACATCGCGGCTCTCCTCCCCACGTAGCTGGCCGAAGGACTCGTGTGAAGTTACCCTGCGCTTTACAGCTGAATTTTTCTTCTGTCGCCAAGGCCCCCTGACCTTTGAATACGGGTCAAAGTGGTGCGGTTGCCTGTTTTAGATGAAGTGGATTTAACCTGATGTTTTTGTACTGGGGTCAAACTGTGCTAAAACTGAGTTTAGACTGTAGTCTAAGATGTTGCTGCAGCTCACGATAGCTGTCAGCAAGACGAGGATCCCGTGTTGCCAAAAGCAGTTCGCTCATCCCTTGAGGGAGGCGATGGCTGAAACTATTGCGTGGTCTCGCGGGTTGCTTAAGTTGATTGAGCAAATGTGACGAGGATGGAAATGTAGGTAAGCTTCAAAATAAGAGCACTGCGCTTGCAAGTGGGAGCCTGAATTTATGCATGGGGGAAGCAACAACTGTTGGTACCGTAAGGACCATCTGATGTGTTCCTAGGCCCACATGTTTAGCATGCCGTTTCCCCCTCTTGATTATTTTTGACCCTAAGTAGATGTCACTGGGAGCCCTCAGCTCGATTGGAAAATTCGTGCTGCCCTTATATGAGAAATGAACTCTAGTAACGTCTTTGTCCGAAACTTTCAGGCTTAAGTGGGATTGTGGGGTTACTCTTAAAAATCAGCCATTGGATTGTCTGATGGGGTGTAGCGGAACATCAAATCTGAGCCCAGGAGGAGCCCTTTGGCACGAACCAGACCACTCTGCCTTCCAGCTCGGCCATAGCCTTTGCCTGAGTTGGGGGTTTGGAGGGGCCGACCCCTCCGGACGTGCTGTGCAGGGATCCCAGCGTATTTCCTTGCAGTCGTCCTCCTTACACCTGCTGCCATCAGATGGCTGGAGAAACCACGTCCTCCAAATTGGGAGTGGATCTGACTTTCTACGTGGATGGGACACCCCAGGGCGGCTGGAGGTGATGCTGGTGTTTTTTGAGCAGCTGCTGTTGACAGAGTGCAGCACTGGGGATCGTCCCTTGAGCAAAAGAGGGCCTTCCTTCCACAGCTGGCCTGCACAGGGGCTCTGCCTGCTGCTTTCCAAGGCAGGGCTCAGCGTGCCGATGTAATGGCAAGGCAGGGCTCAGCGTGCTGATGTAATGGTTGCTTCTGCGTCGCAGGGAGTTGCACTGATCCCTAGAATTGGGATCTGAACCTGCGCAGGCAACTGGCCAGTGACGCAAATCCAGTTTGGCTCAGTGGCAGAGGTGCGAGTGGTCCTAAGTCAGAGCTGCAGAGCTGTGCGTCGGTCTGTGCTGTACAGTGCTAGCAAACACCGCCAAGGTGATAAGAGCGGCACAGAGACATCCAGCTCGACCCCTGATCACAAGCAGAGAGAAACAGCACGACTCCAGACACCTGAAAAGTACCATTGGTGCTCTCCAAAGGAGGGCTTGTGCGTAACCTGCATTCGGAGGATGCTGACTGCATCCTAAGGTCTGGAAATGTGTGTGTGAAATGTTGGTTGCTTATTGACCAGGTGGTTTGTTTTTTTCTGTGTTTGTAGAGGAACCTGTTGGAGGAAGATTCAGATGAAGAGGAAGACTTTTTCTTGTGAGTTTCTGAACGGCTGCTGTAGGGAATGCGGTATCTTAACTAACTGCCTACATCTCTGAGACTGGAGGTGTTGAATACCAAAAGCTGCTCCCTGCCACATAGGTGGGGGCTTGGGAATCAAAACCTTTGATTCCTTTGAGATGATCTCCCGGAGCCTTGGCATTGAGCGTGAATTAAGACTTAACAGGTGTGACCTGTATAAGGGTGGGATGTCCCACATATCCTAAGACATGGGAGGGACTGGTGGGAGGCGTGAGAATAATCTTCCATCCACAAGGCATTGGTTGTGTCTTTGAGCCTTTGGTTTAAATACATGTTTTCGTTGTATCTTCCATCCTGATTGCTCTTTTCTGCCTGCAGGAGAGGGCCTTCTGGACCAAGATTTGGACCCAGGAATGAAAAGATCAGGCAGTAAGTTGTTGTTCCTCAGTGTCACACAGATAATATTTTATTCTGGCACTCCGAGCACCTGCTGCTGTCTTACCGGAGTATTTCCGTGTAGTTCTGAATATGAACGTAGCTTGTGCTTTCTTTCTTCTAATTGACGTTTTCTACCCTATGTGTCCACAGCTAAGAGAAATCTCAAATTTGATTCAAGTTATCAAGAAATTGTGTATTGACAGGGGTGAAGGGATAGGATTGTATCACAGTAGCTTAGTGGAGTTTCTAAAGCCCATGCTGTATTCTGGTGATGACCTGTTCCATGCTTTTATGAGGCTTTTTTTCTAGAGCATTAATCCTGAATTTTAACCTTCGCTAGCACTTTTTTTTGTTTCATTGCTTTTTTTCTTCATCCTGTAACTTGCTCCTCAATGTTTCAAGAAAGCAGGTGGTCAGGAGCACACCAGGGCCATGTGTTTTGGGCAGCGGCTGGTCCTCTGGCCTCCTTTTCTCCAGATAAAAACATGATATAGGTGACCTGGAGATGAGCAGTGACTCAGTGGGTCAAAGCAGCTGGACAAACAGGAAACCATTACAGCTGGAGGAGGATTATTGACTGTATTAGGGCAAGAAGGAAGGAGTGAACACTCTGGATCCTTCTCCCATCGAGTCATTTCCTGCATGATGCTTGTTCTGGGCTCCAGTTTGCCCTGTCCTTTCCTATGAGGGATGTGATGGTGGTACTTAGTGGATATTCCGAGATCCCAGGTTTGCTTTGTGCTGTTTCCTTTGCTGACCTCCACGGAGCCAGAACAGAGATCTGTGCGGGGACTGATGCCCACGCGTCAATCAGACTGGGTCATCATGTGTGCAGCCTGAGTGTTGCTCTGCATTAGGGATTTTTTTCATGCCGGGAAGAAGCCAGTGCAGCTCTGAGATGACTCATTGCCAACGTCAGTGTTAGGCAGTGCTTGCTTGTGTGCCTGCTTGCCACGTTACCTTGAGGGGCGAAGTGCACTTGAGTTACACAAGAGGCAGTGGGTCAGTCACTGCGCCCTGAGTTTTCAGGGGGTTTCTGTTCCCTCTGGGGTGCGAGGGTGCTGCTGGTAGAGGCGCACTGGTCTTTACAGTAAGCCAGTGTGGATAAAGCCTCCCTTCTAGGGCAGTGCCACACTGGCCTGGATTGAATGAGAAGGATGAGAATTGGTTTTATGAGTGGGGTCTTGCCCCCATAAAAAGATGGAGAGGGGGTGATGTTTACCCCTTCATTCTCTGCTGGAAAGGAGTCTACTGCCTTCCCTGCGTGGTGGGGGAAAATGGGAGCTCTTCTCTTCTCACTGTCTTGGCCAGGCAGGAGGGAGCGGGGGCTTAGGTAGAGGGGTTGTGGGAGTTTTCAGGAGACAGGGAAGAATGTATTTTCAGGAGGTGGAGGATAGCACAGCGGCTGTGAAGGAGAAGAAAAATGAAAGAATAATTCACCCAGGAACTTGTGGGTTCATGGGTGTGATGTGACTAATGCCCAGAACATGTGAGGCTTGCCCATTGCCAGAGATTGTCTAGTAGGCCTGGTATGGGATATGTCCCTTTGGGTAGCAAGTGGCTACATCTATCTAGTATCTAGAGCATCTATTATAAAATAGTATCTATTTTTTACTCTCATCAATGTTGATTGCTTTGTTTAATAAGCACTTACAGGGTGCAGTTGTCACTTCTTGTCATGGAGCTTATTAAGTTTCTGATCAGACCAGCCCTTGTGCTGGATGGATTGATGCCTGGTCTCGTAATGATGCGGTCTGTTCTTGTTTCAACAGAGGAGGAAAAGGAGGGTTGGGTTGCTGCTGAAACACTGTAAGGAAAAGACATTTTAAGGAGGAATTTGTGCATTTGGAGAGCTGAGGCATAGCTGGGCAAAGCTAGAGAGACTGTAGCTGTACGGGGCTGGAGGAACGAGGTGTGAAGATAGGCGTAGAAGGAAACTGGATGGAGGATTGGGTAGAGGAAAAAGTGATGGGATCATGGGAGCAAAGGTGCGGAACATGTTGAATGTGAGGGGCAAGACTGGAAACTATTCCTAGTTGTCCTTGGCAGTGAAGGGGCTTGGGTCAGGGTGGAGAGTTTGGCAGCAGAGACCCTCGAGGCTGGCTCAGCTGCAGAAAGAGGTGGTGGGGAACACTGCAAACCTCATAGGGGAAAGAGACGAGTTAGAGCTAGCAGTAGTGGCAGGAGGAAGCGTCACAGTCTCCTCCGCACTGTGTTTTGTCCTGATAGGTCTGGAAGTTCAGGCTCTGTTGTCCCAACAGCTGCTCGGTTGGGGTGGATGCTCCCCTGGTAATTAAGTGGCCACATGGGGTCCCTTAGGCTCCCCCTGAGACCTCCCTGTCCCTGGGGTGGGCTGGAGCTGAAGGATAGCTTTTAAAAGGCTTTTATCCTGTTCCCCAAAGTTACAAAGAACAGGTAAGGGAGAGCTGATCTCTCTTCCCTGCCTTTGCTTCCAGGCTTTGTGAGAAGTCCTGAATGTGTGTCGTGAGAGCTCTTAGTGCCTTTTCAGGGGCAGGTGGGACGTTCATCTTCCATCTGGGTTTCTTTTATTTAGAATAGGAGCCTCTCATCACAGCTCATCTTTTCAAAAACGTTACCAAAATCCCCCCCTTTTCTGCACTGCTTGACTTCCTTCGCTGCTGATGTTTCTGCTTTCAGGCAACTGTGCTGCTGGATTCAGGTTCCTGCTTGTGCTGGCGATGAGGCTCAGCACACTGCTGTGGCTCCCCAGGAGCCAGGTCTTGGTCCCTGCGATTCCTCCATTACTCTGCTGGGGGTGGCCGACATCCCCGTCCCCAGGGCTCGGCCCCAGTGGCTCTGTCTGGCTGCAAGCCCCAAATTATGTCCTGAGAAGGGGGAGGGTTTGGGGAACGTTTTGAAGGCAACAGTTGACAGCAGCTTCCCAGGGCCTGGCTGTTCATCGCAGATGTGCAGTGGACCCCATCCGTATTCCAGGCTTTCATTTGAAGGTGATACCAAGACCATATTGTCAGGCATCATTGTTGGGTATAATCCTTTCAAGTACTGAAAGGCTTCAGGGCGGTATAGACTGCTGTCTTCCTCACTGTTGTGATGAAGCAGCAACTTAGGGATTTGTGGCACAGCTCAGCACTGATACCCCGTTGTTGAGTACAGCAGAGGTGTCTGCTGGGCAGCCCCTCTGCAGAGAGCCATGCCTCGGGGAGCGCTGTGCTGCGCTCGTCTCCTGCCTTTGCACCATCCGTCCAGCTTGGCTCTCTGTCCTGTTCTCTCTTCCCTGGGTTACTGCCACAATGAGGGATGTTTGGGTGTAATTTGCACCAAAATACACAGCACTATTAATATCACTGGGGTGGAAAATAGAAGTGTGTCATGCTGGCTGTAAACAGCCGGCTTGGAGACAAGAAGCAGCCTTGAGCAGCACATCCCGTGTTGCGTGCATGGCCTGTTTATGGTGTCTGAAGAATGCATCACTGTTGTTAGCCCAACACCGTGACCAGTCCAGGGAGTTTTTCAGTAGCTAACCCATTGCGGCCAAAATGGAAAGGCTTATTCCTCCCACTCTGGACCAGGCAAAGCACAAGAAACTTGGTCTAAACCAAGCTAAGCGCCAGTGGGTCTCATTTTGCTGCTTTGATGGTGTGCACTTGCTTTCCTTGTTAAAAGCATCATATTTGCAGTAATTAGTAAGAAGAAGGGTCGTGGGAGACATATTTTATGCTTTTGTCTTGCTCCCTTTCCTGGCAGGTATTTATTCTACTTTATTTCTCTTGGAAATCTGGCAGGAGTGAAGCACATGAAATGTATGTGTCAAAAGCCAATAGCTCCCCAACAGGAAATACACTTCGTATTAGAGGATTCATTCTCTCTTGCCAAATAAAACAAGAAAATATTTTCTTCTTGATGCGACTTGAGTTTCCAACCTCAAGCATGCCAAACTAGTGGGAATTGTTGAATTTGCTCTGAAACTGCAGGGCTAATGCATAGGCTGGGCATCTTTCAGCCCCCTCCTGAAGAGGCATCTCTTGCAGCAGCGATGGGTGGGAGAGAGCAGAAAGCAAGGACTGGCTTAAGGTCTGGTTAAGGCACTGTGTGAAGTTCAAAGTCACATTCCCTGGCTCGGTCTCTTCCTTCCTGGTTTTTTTTCCAGGGTTCTCTTTTACATTAGATACAAAAAGGTATTGGGGTGCTCAAATGTGTCTGTGTTCCACGGGAGTTAAACACCTCAACATTTGCAAGAGTTTAAGCCTTGATTTCTCTGTGCCTCCGTTCTCCATCTGTGAAATGTTTTGTTCTCTTGGGGGGGATGGCTAACAGCATGCCCAGGTTATGGGCAGGTAGCAAAGGCATGCAGCGTTTTGCCAGCAGCTCAAGTGAAAAGAGGTGGGATGCTGAGATGCAACTTGGGCAGTGGGGGCCTGTGCTCCATAGGCGTCTCCCAAATGCTGCTACACAGCAGAGCAGCTTGAAGTTACATACCTGCCCACTCTGCCTCAAACACTTCGGGGTGCTCTGGGACTGCAGCAGCATCTCTCCAGGCTCTGACCTGTACCGGCGGGGATACAGGTGGCACTGCATTGCGCTGCACATTCCTAGATGCATTGTAACCTTGTGTGCTCCCGCTTGTTAGTTGTACCAAGGTAACTTGGTTACAACTCTGTTGTGGGAGGAAGTCTCTTTATTTTGAAGCCAGTAAATGATTTTAGAAACATTTACGTACTGCAAATGTAGTCTTCTGCCTGTGAAACTGATGTTTAAGGCCTTAGAGTTTTTGCCAAGTTGACTCATCTGGGATAGCAGATGTTTCTCTCGCCCCAAGCTATAGGAGCGTTGCTGGTGGCTCTGAGCTGGGACTTGTCCGTTGTGCCAAGGTAAGGAAACCCCCTCACAGAGCATTCCTCTTCCTCATGTCCACACCTGCTGCCCCAAGGAAGGGCCACGGGGCTGCGCATGTCCCGTGTGGGGTGAACACTTTGCTCCACAGGGTACCACCACGTGTTTCCCAGGCAGCATTTGCCTGCGTCCTCAGTGCCACCTTCTGCGCTTTCCCAATGGTGGCAGCTCTGCCACTCGCCTCGTACCTTGTAAAACAAATGGTGGGTCAGAACA